CAGTGTGTCCTATTTTGGTTGAGACTAGTATATCTCAGCTGTTTTTAAAGACGGAAACTTACGCTTTTTGTCATTATGTGCAATTTTTTTTGTGAAACTTAATACCACGAACAGAATCAATCTCTAGCCACGTTCGTTTCCTAGATACAGGGTGAAAATGAAAACTTTTTGACTTTTTGAGATGTTACCTAACTTACTACTCTGATAGAAAATACGTAAAAACTGCCTGTTTTAGATATTTTTACGTAGAAACCAGTGACGTAGTAAAAAACACAGTTTCTGAAATTTAATCAAAGGTCAGTATCTTGGTATTTTCTAAATGCAACACCCTGTATATCTTAACGTATGGCTTTACATTCTTTTTCCTGATTACATTGACATATCACAACATATATTTTTTAATGTTAGCCATAAAAACCTTATTTTTTTAACTGTTTTTAAATAGTAGGCCATGTATAGGGTTGCCATCTCAAAACTCTGCCAACTAGGACAGGAAGCGTGAAAACCCCGGATTTAGGGATTATAAACCCGGACATATCAATTGAATTTTAGAAAAAATATTGTCTAAAGAAATAGTCTTTGAAATTCTACTTTATTTTTATCACTGACTAGACTGTTTCAAATTCAATAATAGTAAAAAGGAACAAGGGATTAAAAAGAGTTTTTCCTGAGAGAATGGTTTAAGAGCGCGCTGCCAGAGTGGTGGGGGAGCTTATTGCCTTTAGTTTATATTGTTACCATTTCAAAATCAGACGGATAACGGCAGATGGCGCTAATGTGGTCTGAAAGATTTTTTTAATATTTTTAAGGGAGCAAAAACTAGTTTAATCCAGTGTTGCTTATACTATTTTTTTCCAATACCAATCGATTTAAATCCATTTTTCCACAAAACAAAAATGAGGGATTAAAACTTTATTAATCTCTAGGGATTAAAATTACCTGTTAATGTACAAAAATTTGGGATTAAATTCAAGAAAACAATGTAGGTATTGGAAAAATTCCTTTCTTTGGTCCACTGTTATGCCACTAGTGAAAATATTCTTTCAAAGCTGGTATTATGAGCAGGAATGCAAAAAAGCACCAGACAATTTTCAATAACTCCAAGTTAATGAGGATTCGGTGTTTTAAAAAATTGTAACCAAAGCTGATTGGCGCCTTAAAAGTTTATCTTGTTTTGACAGAAACTCGTAGATATCTCAGTAGCCTAAAACCCGGACTACCGATGAAACCCCGCCCGGACGCCCCCTAAACTAGGACAAATCCGGGGAAACCCGGACGGATGGCAACCCTAGCCATGTATCTATGGAGATTTTGTTTTGTTTATTGTATGCATAATAATTAAGGCAGGTGATGCCAATCAATAACAATTGCTGTTGGTATAACATATTTCAAAATTTTGAAAACTATGATAATACATATTTATTTATTTATTTATTTATTTAACGGAAATACCATTTTTACAAAGAAATATTATGTACTTACATAATTATATAAAAAAATATACGTTGTGATACATCAATCTAATCAACTAATCAGGAAAGAGAAAGCAAAAAATAGACGTTAAAATATACAGGACGTTGCATTTAGAAAATACCAACTTTGAATCAAATCCTAGAAACTGTGGTCTAAATTTTTTTTGCTACGCCATTGGACCCAAATTTCCCTGACATCATTATAAGGTATGAGTCATGGAGAGGAAAATGCAGAGTGGGCCACAACCTTACCCCGTCCCAAGAAAGCAAGAATGAGCAAGTCGCTAAGGGAATCGTACACCATGAGTTTGTACCACCTAGGCAGACCGTCAACAAGGACTTCTACAAAGAAGTTTCAAAAGACTCAATCGCAGAGTCATCCATATCTGATTGGAGTCCAGTCTCCACCATGACAACGCACAGAGACACACCGCATTCGTTGTCAATTCCTATCTGTCACAATTGGTCTTTCAACGGTGCCACAGCCCCATATACCCCCGACAGACTTCATCTTGTTCCTAAGGGTGAAAAGGGAGCTGAAAGGAAAGCATCTGAGACATCGTAGAGCATTTAAAAAACCATGACGAAGTGCCTTAAGGGCATTCCGAAAAGCGAGTTCCAGAGGGCATACGATGGAGCATGGAGAGTACATTGGCAAAGGTATATAGACCAGGAGAAGAGTATTATGAAGAGTATGAAGATGTTGTTTGACCAAAAAATCCATTTTTTTTTTAAAAAAAGCTCATTACTTTTGGGGCAAACCCTGTATGCCAAGACTAAAAGATGATGAGATGCGCGTCGGGTAGGTACATTCAGGATTTCACGATCGTGCGAAATAAATTCTAACTAAAAAAATTCGCCCTAAACGTAGAGTTAAAGATTTATTGATGTGATGGAAATCAAACATGGACTATGAAAGAATTGGAAATCAAAAATACACAAACTCCGAGGATGCCGGAAAAAAAATTTAAAATTTTAGAATAAGAGACCAACTACTGTCAGAAATCGCAAAAGAAAAACTGCAACATGTGTTAATTAAAAATGTATGACCGTGATAAGACACATCAAAGAGGACGCTCCGCTCCCAGGCCCCAGTCTTGAAATTTGACAGTTTTTAACAATTTCTCACAATATTATTGATGAAATTCTCCATTGGGAAACGTTACTTATGTTGTAATAAATAAATAGAATAGTAGTAACATTTTATTGACTATTTTTTCTATGGCGATCGAATTCGGTTAAAAAACCATCCTCAGTGAGGTTTTGAAGTTTTTTTTGTCTTTAAAATTTAAATCAAAATATTTTTAAATTTATTCATTCGAATAAAATAATTTTGTGCATCAATTTTATGTTGCAAGGTGTGCAACATAAATTCAAATTCTTCGAACAAATTTCAAAATTTTACTAGTTTTTATACAGAGCGTTTCATAATGTAATGTGTCCTATTTTGATCAAGACTGCAGTGTATCTCGGCTGTTTTTAAAGATAGAGAAACCTTTAATACCACAAATAGTATCAGTCTAGCTATGTTTGTTTTTGATATACAGGGTGAAAATGAAAAGCTTGACTTTTTGGAACATTATCAATTACCATATAAGCCATGCAAGATAGAAAAGATAAAAACTACTTTAGATATTTTTACATACAATCCAGTGGCGTAGTAAAAAAACTTTTCGGATCACTGTTTCTAAGATTTGAGATAAACATCCTTGGCAAGGACATTTTTATTTTTTAAAATCAAAGATGGCCGTGACAATTGAGAAAAAAATAATTTTATGTTGAGGTAAAGTGCCAATTCGACCAGTAACACGGCAAACTGTAATTAAGAAAAGTTGTTTAGAATAATAACTAAGGCTTGGTTTGGGTTCTATTTTAATAAAAGAAAATTTTGAGAAAAGTCCATAGCAAATTCAAAATGACCATTACGCCTCCTAGTGGCCATCGTAGAAGCCTGAAAATAATTTCCAAAACTATCTTTAGGTAACTTTCTTTTTAAAAAAATTCACATAATGTAGTATACAATGAGTAGTTTCCTAGGTTGCACAAACAATAATTTTCAAGGCGTTTGCCAAAAAACGAAATTTGTAAATTTTCATTTATTTTATTTTATTAGCAACCTTACTTTCTGTTAGATAAAAATCACACAATCCACAATGAGGAATTTCAAGACATGAACTGCCTTTATGTTTATGTAGGCAAAGTTTCATCCAACACTGCTGTACCAACCTGATTCATTGGACTAAAAAAACACATACCATGTTGTTACAGGATGAATCGCTACCAAGAGATCTTTGAACAAACAAAAATTCATTTTTACTCTAAATCCAAAGGTGACCATTGAGATCTTGGAAACCATAACAGAGACCAAGTCGACCAAATGGAGGCAAAGTTGCGTATTTTGGGCACCAATGTAATGCTCCTTAGGAAGTGAAGGAATTCTGAATACACTCAAAGATAAAAGAAAAAAAGTATTTCTTTTTGTAACTTTATTTGAAAAGATATTTTAAAACAAATGACTACTGTTGAGTCACCAATATTTCTAAACAAATTTTGCAATATTTCGAAAATATTCACAGTCACACACCGGAAATTTCCCATAAATTCTCGAGCACCTTACAAGAACATTCTTCTGAAATTTCCAGTTTATACTAGCTTTTAGTAGAATCGGCCAACCCCCGATTTCATGGGGTTACACAAACGTTAACAAGTGCAGTAGTTCTTGAAAGTTTTTCAATACTCAGATATCAAATTTTAACATCCGCACCATTATCTGCTGTTGTGAATGAAGTTTTTAAACATTCAATTCTTAATTTCAAATTTTTGAAAGCGTTGTTAGCACAGCTTATCTTTCCACTAATTGTCGGCTGTTCAGGTTCCTTTTATAAATCGCTCCAATGAAATATCGTAGAACTTTTGAGATTCCGGCATTATATTCATACTATCGTGTTATTCCTCCATCCCTTAGTCTGAAAGCCAAATGCCATTCCTGAGTTGATACTTTATGAATTTCGTTTTCGGATTTGGTGAGCAGTAATTTTCTCATAGCTCTTCTGAAATCATTTCTGCACAGTTCTTTTGTGCAATACTCACATTTACTATTGTACAGTACTATAAGGCATCTTGAATCCATAATTAAACAAAATTCTAGTAATCGATATCTGCATGTCTGTAACTGATCTTAAAGATCTGCTATGTAAGTATGTGCAATTCCACTCTGTAGTACAAATGTTGGAAGACAAGACAAGAAAATCGTTCCTCGTTAGTTAAGACACATCGCTACCTTGAACACCTAGATAAACATCAAAGCGTATCTATTTCTGAAACACGCTCTGAATAGATAATTGCTTTATGCTTTTAACACAACCTGTAATAAGACCCGGCAAATTTGTTATGTGCTGGACATAACCGACAATTTTATATTAACGTAATATCAAAACCGCACGTAGTCTTTAGTTACTACCTACTTGTTGCCGCATTAAAACCGCATAAAACGAGCCAATTATGTTAAAATACTTGATTTACACCAACCTGTCAGATCGCTTATGCTGTGGGCTATCGTAATTTTCGATCTTTCTACGTTTCGTGTCCCTGTCCCTATCGCAAGAATGAGATCGGGAACGTGATCTTGTACGAGACCGAGAATGGTGACGTCTTCGGGAACGAGGCATCTGCAACAAGCTCGATTAGATCTACCTCCTTGAAGGATTTTATTACAAAATGCTTTCATTTCTGAACAGAAAGCTGTACAATTACTAATTGGTGTTAATTCAACAAATAACTATGGCAACAATACATTTATTTTAAAAATACCTTTATATATGACGTTTGTACGTCAATCAAGTGTATAAAAGGCGAAAATGTGGAATGGAAGTTTTTACGAGATCGCCATTTTATGTTGGCAGTTTAAGGCGCCATTAATAGATAAAGCGTGTGAGCATTCCAGTTGAATTACAAACTTTTCAATAGAGGTCAGACGCGAACAAGGAGATGGAAAAAAAAACTTGGAAATAAACTTACTATTGGATTTGCAGTATAATTAAATTTACACCAAAGGAGATTAGCGAAATGCGCGACACAATTCCAAGTGCGTATAGCTGGGCCTTGAATTAACTGACAAGGAAGCGACAAACCAAACATCGATCCAACCTATTGGTCGAATAGTGAAGTCGTCGACCTCGATGCAAAATTTCAAATCATGAAAGAAAATTTAATCACACTACACTCAATATTGTTTCACACGAATCAAAATAAACTTTTGGGAAACTGGCAGTAAATAAAGATTTAATTTAGGTCAAAGAAAATTTCTAACGCGGCCTTTCTGTTATGGACGCTTTCCCACTCGTTTTTGTTGCGATGTTGCAATATCGCACTTTTTACTCTCTTTACGTATAGATAACTGTACAGGGTGAATCGATCATTAGAAGAAAATAAAGATGCGACATTTGGACCATTTGGCAGTTTTGAGACGGTTCGTCCTTCTTTTATATATTATATGTTAACTAATTTGTCATAATTATATGTCCTGTAGCCTATTATTGACGTAAAAGCTGTTGGTTGCATTTTATTTATTTATTTTATTTACATAAATAAATAAAAATAAACATTTTTTAATGGTTAGTTACGCCATTGTTTTAAATATAAAGTATTTAAACAATGGTTACGCGCTTTTGTTTATGCGATAGATCTTTTAACAGTTGAAATGCGCCTCTGTAGACAGTTATTTAAACAAATTAAAACGCATACGATTTTGAGCAGCAGAACTAAGATCATGCACACGGAACACTGTCCCTTGAGATATCATTTCAACAGAAGCGGGGTACCCGAGGGGAATACATGTAGTCTCTGCTTCGAGGAGGAAGAGACAGAGATCACATCTAGACCTGTGGGCGAGATTGCAACAGCACCTCCGCAGATCAGGGAGGCCGGAGAGGGTCCTCAGGTTGTTTTTAACAAGCTCATGCATCTCTCGGAGTAAGACACTGGGGCACGCACAATAGATTCAAGGGTCAAAATGCGTAGGCGTGATATAGCCCAACTCAAAGAGAAAAAAAATGATATGAAGCAGAAACTATTGTTGTGATTAGTTCCGTAGTTAGTAGTGCTTTCATGGTTCATCCGCAGAAAAGCCTAGGATCTGTATAGTAGCCAAAAATAGCATCACAATACATCAATGCCTGGTTACAACCATTTAAATCTTCGGGATTAGGCAGAATTTTCCCAGAACTTCTAAAGGGAAGGAAGTAGTACCAATGCTAGGTCGGGATTCGTACGACCAAGCAATATCGTTTAAACTGGTAAGTCTGACATCGTTCCTTTTAATTAATTAGGCTTTAGGAGAAAGGATGAATTACATATTATCTTCGCTGAACCGTTTACGTAGTAATGGAATCGCTCAGGCGCAAAAAAATGCACTAGGTGCGTTTTGATTTTCCCTATATTCCAGCAAATGTTTTATCAAGTATACTTTTTTTTTGTGAAATATAAGATGATAACCTTTTCACAAAACTTTTTGGGACACTCTGTACATATGCTTAGGGCGTTTAAACCTTCGCGCGCCAGATACAGGAAGTAAACAGTACTGCCAACATCATCGATAAACGTCACTTTAAAATTAAAATTCCCTTAGAAGTGCATAGTTTTCGATCTACACGTGTTGATCCCATCAGGTAATTAATTTTAAAAATTAAGAGCGATATATACATCATTTATAATTTTGCACATAATATTCGAGTTCACTTTACATTTGTCTAAGACAGATTTTCGTTTAATGAATTTTGCGTATTTATAACCTCAAAATATCGTTGCAGAGATTCTCCATCATGGTCGCCCAAAAGAAACAGAAAAAGGCAATCGAAAGCATCAACAGTAGATTGGCGCTGGTAATGAAATCGGGAAAGTATTGCTTAGGCTATAAGCAAACCTTGAAGGTATACTAAAATGTTGCGCTGCAAGACACGTTAAAACCTATATTTTGTAGACATTGCGACAAGGAAAGGCGAAACTCGTAATTATAGCCAACAACTCACCACCACTACGTAAGTCAGAAATCGAATATTACGCAATGTTGGCCAAAACCGGTGTCCATCACTATTCCGGTAATAATGTCGAGTTGGGAACGGCATGCGGTAAATATTTCAGGACATGTGTAATGTCCATTACGGACCCTGGAGATTCCGATATTATCAGATCGATGCCCACAGGAGAGGCGGCGGCGTCTCAATAATTATTAAATGTTTCATTTGTATTTAATTTCTTTAATAAATAAAATATAAAGGAAACTTGAATTTTGTACAAAACAATATAGCCAATAAATTTCAGAAAACCTTAATACATTGTAAAGAAATCATACAAAGGTACAGAAGGGCCATAGTTTTCTGTTGTAGTCTACCTATGACCGTTTGAACTAACAAATTTAAGCAGACCTTGGCCTAAGTGTAGCGTAAAATCCATGGCAATTGTTGAGACAATAGTTGTCATGGATTTTAAGCTAAGCTCCGCTTAAATTTGGGTGCAAACGGCCATTAAATGATTTATAGACCATTTGAGTCAAAGCACCTCAAAATTCATTCCTTTGAATTCTAGTGGTTGTCAAACTTTGCTGTTGATGGCTTTTTTGGGTACCTACTGGTGTACTTAGAGCTTAAAGTAGGTGTCTTGTTTAGGGTAGGTATACAGAGTGGCCCAATGAGAAGTATACAGAGGGCTTTTAGGGTATTAAATTTAGAAATTTTGAAAAATCCTCGAACACGTCAATTTTGTATTCGAGGGGGACAACTTTTGGAATACAAATCACGAACCCAAGTCTTCACCCCTCTACATAGGGAGCTTAACCCCTAAAATTTTAAATGGAATCCTATGGCAAATGGCACATTATTTGAAAGCCAATTTAATCGTGATTACTAATCTGCTTTGCTTTTTCAATTCTATTGATTCGTTTCGGAGATATTAGCATTTGAAATGGTTTTTTCCCCTGATTTAAGTCCTTTAGATTACTTCTTGTGGGGATACTTAAAGAATAAAGTTTATGCTACTCCGCCCGGAATATTACAAGGGTTGCGAGCACGTATAACCATAGTGTAAGAATATAATACACTATGGTATAACTCAACAATTTCGAGCGATTACCCCTGAATCTTGCAACATGTACGGCAGCGTTTTGAAGCAAATCTTTAATATTGCATGGAAGCAGGCGGAAGGCAAGTCGAGCATTTATTGAAATAATGTTGTGTGTTTAAAGTTATTTGTTATTTTTTGCACAATTTAAACCTTTTTTAATACAAGGTGGCTTAGATCGCATTTGTTTTGGTTTTTTTAGAAAAAACCATTTCAAATGCAAATATCTCCGAAACGAATCAATAGAATTTAAAAAGCAAAGCAGATTAGTAATCACGATTAAATTGGCTTTCAAATAACGTGCCATATGCCACAGGATTCCATTTAAAATTTTAGGGATTAAGCTCCCTACGTAGAGGGGTGAAGACTTGGGTTCGTGATTTGTATTCCAAAAGTTGCCCCTCTCGTATACAAAATTGATGTGTTCGAGGATTTTTCGAAATTTCTAAATTTAAAGCCCCAAAATACAAACGGGCGATATATAGCCCAAAAAATACGAAATATGCTTAGAAAGATCTTAAAATAAGACATTTCTTTCCATAGTAACGCTCTTACAACCACAGAGGAAACTATGAAACTTCTACCTATAACTACAGGTTGAGAAAGGAACACATCACGAATTTAGTGGCCAATAGGTATAATGTGAATAAAATTTATAGGTACCTACATGCACTTTTATACTATTGGCGCAAATTACTAGGCATTGAATTTTCTTGGGGGCAGGCAAAATTTACTACAATCTGCAGTGCGAAAATAAAATTGATGTCAATATAATTATAAGCAGCTTTCTAATTGGTCAATATTTAGAGAAAAGGAAAATGCGATTTGACAATTTTTCAAAAATTTTTCCAGGTTGAGGTAAGAACCGACTCCTATGCTCCAAAGGGCGTAATCTTTCGAATTGTACACAAAGATTGTTGGCAAAGCATATTTGTTTCATTCTTTTGCCTCAGGTTGTGGGTATCACTATTGTTTCCCAAATTCATAATTTAAAAGCAAGCTGAGTAACATGTATATATAGTGTACCAAACAATACAGGTTTAAATTTATTAAAAAAACATCACAATAAAAATACAGTACCTATTAAAAATGTAGCTTCACATTTGTATGTAATCTTCATTACCAGCTTCTGAAGCTGGGCTCACACTCAATTCATTTTGGCTCAGTTCAGAGGGATTACGACCTTTTTCAGTTGGAAGGCTATGTAAACGTTCTTCAAAGAGCATTTGATCCAATAGACTACTAGGAGACCACTTTTCATATTTATCACCACTTCCCCCTACAATATTAGGCTTGAATACTTGTGTTGGTGATACAAAATCGCTACTGTGATCTTCAGCAGCTTCGACGTTGTTTATATTCTCATCACTGATAGGTTCTGAACCATTGCTTAAATTCAAATTGTCCGAACTCCTCTGGATAGCTTTTTCTGACGAGGAGTGACTGCTATTAAGTTGGGTACTATTTTCTTCAAAACTTGTATTTGGCGAGGAAATACTGTTTTGACCGTTTGCGCTTTCTGCATGATTGGGTTCTGAGAAGGAATTACTTCTGTTGCTTGCAGGTGTATTTTGATGTTCTTCAACAACCGAAATTGGACTAGTAGGGGGACATCGAGTTTCGTTACTGTGTTCTTCAGTACTGGGCTCAGTCTCTTGATTGTTTTGGTTCAGACTATCAGATGTAGTTTTGGTGGGATCTTCGCCACGTAGAAATTTATCGACAATTTTATTAGCATGATTTACAAAACTTTCATATGAAAAATACTGTTCTAACCTGGCCTTACCCATGAGACCCATTCTCTCTGCATTATCATCCTTTATAATTTTAGTAATGGCATTGGCTACAGAGTCACCTGTTGGCTCACACAAATATCCGGTAACGCCATCCTGCACAGTTTCACAAGGTCCACCACTATTGCAAGCTATTACAGGTTTTCCTGCCGTCATTGCTTCCAAAGGCACTATTCCAAAATGTTCATTAATTGGAGTATAAAGAAGACAGTTACAACGCAGCAAAAGGTCAGCTTTTAAATTATCAGATGGTGACTTCAAAAATGTTACTTTCGCCATTAAATTCTTATTTTCGCATAATTTCACCAATTTGGCAAAATAGAAAGCGTTAATGCTAGAGTCGGGATCATAGCCACCTGCCATTATAAGATGAATTCCACCCCATTCAGATGAGGATAGCTTAGTTTGAGCAGCCTCTAAGGCATCCATAGCCAACTCCAATTTTTTAGCTGGATGGAAACGATTAATCGACAAAAACACAAAAGTTTCCTTTGGTATGTGGGCAATTTCCTCGGCATTTTTAAAATGGCTATTCGCAATCAGAGCCTGGTAAGAAGACGAAATTGTAGGATAAAGAATAGAAATATTCTTCGTAATTTCTGGGAAAGTTTTTTGAAAAACTTTTTTCGTATATTTACTATTAACAAGAATCACATCGGATAATGCGGTACATTGCAATTCTAACCAGTTGATCGGTAAGCGATAAAGACGTTTTAAAAATCCACCGGGCGTACTCGCCAATAAATCCGGATGATGACAGTAGTATATAACTTTACCGCCTGCCAACTTTATAAATGGAACAGCCATTGGTATTTGATCAATAAAGAATAAATCAGGCTTCTCACTTTTGTTTATAAAGAGCACATAAAAAAGCGCTAGGTATATCATTCGTAAGTACGAAAAAAGAGCTTGAAATATACCACATAGTCCACGAGGAATCCAATTGCCTATGACACGTACTGGAAATTGGCCATCGCAAAGCTCTTCAAATGCGTGGTGTTTATTGAAGTGATTCGTAACGAATGAGACTTCATTTTTTTCTGATAAAGCCACAGCTACATCGAGTACCAACCGTTCAGCTCCTCCGATGCCCAAATCGGGATGTACAAACACAATTTTCGGTTTCTTAACAGGCATCTAAAAGTACATTTATTATTATTGGTTAATTTTTTTATGTGCACCACTTACCATAAAACAATCAAGAATACACTATTTCATTAGCTTTTGGTACAAAATGTCGCCTCACCTTTTATGAACCCGGGAATTTTGTACTTTTATGATAAGAGATAAAAAGCAAAAAGGTATTAAATTATCAGTACATTGCCAGATTTCAGGTTAGGAAAGTTTGTACCAGGGGTAATCAGAAAATATTCCGTGCTTAACTCTAGTAGATATACAGGGTGGTCTCGTTAACGGTCTGTGTAGCTACAGATAAAAATGTTGGTAACTAATAATATCATTTATTGCCATAGATTGTAAAAAACATATAGGCATGGTCAGGGAAAAACAACAAGTTAACAAACAATGATATAGATAGATACTTTACAGGACAAAACAACATTCAAAATCAGTTAGCTAGAGGCGCGTGTCGGGTACATACGTAAAAGAACGTTTGAAATTTCTTTTATTCTGCGGATTTTTTATACTGTCCGGAGAACTATTAAAAACGTCACCGCTGTAATAGTAGTCTTCACGGTCGAGATAATACGTTGACCAGTTATCTAGAGCTAGACATACCGCAATAATTGGCTTTCAAGTTCAGGCAAGTTCTGTTTACTCGCAGACACAGAAAGGCCGAACAAAAAATCAATCAGCCCACTGAAGAGGCTGGGCCCTCAAAGCCCAAAGAAGCCTCTAATAGAACACTCAAAGCACAACACACCAAGAGGTGACTCTAATTGAAGTCGGGGAAAGCTCAACTGCCCCAACCATCAGACAAGCAAGCCCTGGGCGTGGCTCAACCAAAGTCAAGGGAAGGGTTTCTCAAAATCAAAGAAACTGGAAGGATCAGGAAATGGGACGTACCCCCTCAGCATAAAGGTGAACCGGAAGGCAAAGAAAGCGTTTTGGGAAACATTGGGCACGCGGGAGCTGAGCTGGATTACACTCCAGAATGCAAATGCTTAGGAGTCATGCTGGACACGAGGTTATAACTTGGAAGCCTCACATTGTATAATGCTGGTATATGATGACTCAGTTCCGTGCTCCCAGTCTATGGAAGGGTTGGGAATAGGAATAACTGGGCCCAATTACGCGCTCTCTCAATGGCCTCATAGGAAACACCCCTAAGTATTTCAAGCCGCGGTTATAGATAGCTATAAGCAGCCCCCCAGAGGTCATATAGGTAGACTAGTATAAATACAGTCGCAGGTAGTCGCCCACTGGAAAACTTATGTCTTTTTCTTCGCATGGGCTATTTGTGTCCACCTCATAAGAGACCAGTTTTGCAGTGAGCGACTACCTATACCTGCGACGATTGACGTGACTGTTTTTATACTAGAAGAGCAATAGGTGCGCGCATTTACATCTTCTCGGAGTCACGCAGCTCTTAAGAAGCTCTAGCAACCTTCTCCCTGACCTCCAACCTGCTTTATGGAATGCCATACAAAACTGGAACAAATAGCCAGGCGTAATTGTGTTACGTTAGTGTGCATCCCCAGACGTGAGGGGATATAGCCGGTAACGAAGAGACTGATCGCCTCGCTAAAGCCACCGGCACTAAACATCCCCAAATTGAACCGGAATCCTGATGTGATGGAGGAGTAATAAACAGTTTTTGAATACCAAAATATTGCCGTACACGTTATATTTGTAAAGTGGAAGTAATTTTAAAGAAAGATCTTTGAATTCACCCATTCCATTTTAATTACCCTGAATATTAAGTTTTTCGTAAATAAATAAGTAAAGGAGAATATTTTAAATGAATATGGTTTTTAATTAGACAACAGATAACAAAACTACATAGTACTTATAAATAAAATATGAACAATGAAGATAAGTATATGTACTTAAATAAACTTGAAGATATTAATTTGAAATTATTTCATAGCTCTTTTTGTATAATTTGATCTGGCTTTAGCCAATTTCAACCAATTTTTTGTCGCTTCGTCCATTGATTTCTCCTCATGGCTGTTTGAAGGAGTTCTAGGGTATGCTAAAAAAAATACCTAACTATACCACACCATTTTTAACAGGGTGCGTGTCGAGCGGGTGACGAATTTCACAATGCATCAAAAGGATTCCAATGCAAAAACTGTTCCGCAAATTATTTTGAGCAATACTCACAGCTCGACTCACAGGCAATTGGTAAAAGTGGAAGTTTAATTATCTAATATAAGATACGGAATGCCTATATGCATAACGAAATTTTGAAATTGAGGCTTACCATATAACAATTTTTTTGTAAGAGTATTTCTGAATGCTCTCTTCTCTCCATGCCCCACCCAGTTGAAATGTTGCGCAAATTTATTGGTCAAGACCTTTGACAAAAAGTTCCTGACATTTTCAGAAGGACTACAATTGGAAACAAAACTAAAGTAACTGACCTAAAATTAGACTCATTAAATTAAATTGCATGTTAATTAAAATTTAAAACTATAGATTAGTTCACATGCACTAATAATGAAGGATACTTTACCGCATAATCGAAATTTTTTTCATTACATAAGAATTTCTCCCATTCTTGAAAACAATCGTCATTTTCCAAAGGAAAATTGCTAGGCCAACCCAACGGCCTCCTAGTTTTTTGAATTCCTCCAGCTTGGTGATCAAGGTGTCTTAGAATTTCTTCTAGATGCAATTTGTTTTTCTCAACCTTTAGTTCTATCCTTTTAAGACTACAAAATATAGTCGACTGACCTAAAAGAATGTATTTAGTGTTTGTTTTATTATTTGATAAAATTTATTTAAATGAATAGGAGTGTGAAATAAACAAATGTTACATTAAAGATGTCATTTATTATTCTTCCTCTCACTTGTCCTGCATTTATTACACGAAATTACATGAAAAGCGGCATCACGAGCACAATACAAGATACAAAGAACAACGGTTTGTCAAAAAGTAGTAGGTAGTACAGTGTTGAAGAGTTGCTCGCTCCACAACCCTCCATTTATGTTTAGCTAAGTACTAAGCTAATACTGTTTGTTTTATCTTTATTGATGTATTTTTGATTGTTAAATACTTACTTACTATTTGTTTATATCCAGACGAAACTAAGCAGTGTCAACTGAATGTCAAAAATAAATATTATTATTATTATACAGAATTCACATTGTAACAATTTTCATAGACCTAGGATTTACAAATCTAATCTTGATGTAATTTTAATTGTACGCTCAAACCTACTTTTTGTGGCACTATTTTGTGCACTTTATGTTAACTACAGACAAGTAATTTTGATTATTGTTTCGTAGTTTCATTTTTTAATTACATTATTAATCCTTGGGATCCAAGCACTCTCAGATCTCAATGACCAACCGATCCTGTTGGTCCCTATAGACTTTTGTAATGATTTGTATCTTTTCCATTTTATTTGTTTTTTTAATGTAAAACATACTTTTTTAGGTGGGTGAAGTCTATTAATCTTAATTTAATGCAGCATCAGGCCCTAATGTAGCCTTAATGAATCTATTACTTGAAATTTGAGACAATTACTTGACCTAAACAATTATTGTTTTTTGTTTCATTTACAATTTATCCTCAAACCACCTAAATAATTACTTCTAAATTTTCAACCCGTAAATCTAAATTTCCTACAAGCACATTTGGTTTGTTGGTCTCCTTGGGGCTACTTCATGCGCAGCAGCTGTCCCGTGTTGGTTGGTTGGTCAATATACTTACACCTTTTATCATTGGAGTAACCCGCTATATGAAACCAACCAACAAACCAATTATTATCTTGTGCACAGTTCAATTCATTTTCAACATTGCATCTACATCAATTGGATTAATTTTATGCTACCCTAAAATGATTTAGAACAATTAGTCTGTACGCAGGGCATTTATTAAATACATGCGTACATAGACAACATGCGGTTTTTAATTAAACTTTGCTATGTACTTGTATTCTGTGGTTTCCCCACTGACCCGTCAAGTCGGTTGACTGAGTGTTGTGGCAGTAGTCCAGCTAGATTGCGGTTGCCTTCCGTGTACTCTCCTTGTATCTTTTTCATCCAGTTGACCTCTGCCCCTAGCTCGCCTGTCATTGTTTGCATTTGTTTTTGTGTAATCTGTACAATAAAACAACGTTCCATCGCTTGCTCCAATGCAAGTTTTGGTTACCAAAGAAGTTGGTCAGCACCTAAAATTAGTCTACCTTTAATTAAACTGTCAGTCAACATTTTAAATTCACAGGACGCGGAAAGTATTTTGCGCTCTGTTGTAGTACACAGTTTGCTTGTCACTTTTACATTGTGTGAAAAGCTGGTATCTTTCGTACATCATGCTTTTGGTTGATGTAGACTTTTGATTAAATTTCTCGACTGTATTCTAAATTCTCAATGCATGGTCCCAGAGTAAATTCAATAATCTGTAACTTTTATTCTCTTGTGATACTTTCTTATCCTTGCATGAATATGTTACATTTTTGTTTAAAAAAGTAGTTCTCAGAGGTTATGCCATCCAAGTTTAAACTTCAGTTTCTGAACACGTTTGGCTGTTTGGTTTGTTTAATACATCATTTTAGCATGATTCATGAAATAAATACAATCACATTACAATCAAAGACGTCGGATTCTCCCTCACGAATCATGACGCTCACTACAGCTTGGCACGCTCACTACAGCTTGGCTCACTCACTCCTCACTGCACTGCACATTTGTGGCTCAGTGCTCACGACCACAGACCATCAACGCCTACGACCTTCTCTTGTGCCGCCATCTATTATAATCCCATCTACATTATTACAAAAAAACATGAATTCTGATGAATTCATAGATTATTTTTTAATCTATGAATTGAAATCCCATCATTTAGAAAAATTTCACTCCGTACGAAGGCCTAGTAGAAGGGCCCATAACTATTTTTTTTCAGAAACCTTTCTCAAAAATAACTTCAGATAGGAGCCTAAAAACTATAATAGCCCCATTAATGGCCGTTTGCACCAACAAATTTAAGCGAACCTTAGCTTAAAATCCAAGGCAACGATTATCTCAATCGTTGCCATGGATTCTAAGCTACGCTTAAATTTGTCGGTGCAAACGGCCATAAAAGGTACAATGAAAATTGATTTTAGCATCAAACTTTTATTACCAACACTTTCAGAGGCGGTATCCTCCATACATATCTAACACAAGCAACTTTAATAACAAATTCCTTTTTACGATTGAATCAAATACTGCTTTTATTCAATGCTTCTAGATAATTTCCTTCCACATTTCCATTTGTTGCCACTAACACGCTTTCTCGTCCAGTACCCTGAGGGTGTCGTAATACAAGGAAATAATTAGGATTTTTGTCTGATTGGGTCAGTTATTTTGATTGGAGGGTATTCGAATTTTCTCTATTTCAAAGAATATCATTACAGTTTCAACAGTTAATCATGTCTGTAAAGGAAAACATAAAGTACAACAATTTATAGATGCAGTTTATTTTCACGAATAACATTTTTTTTTTAGATTTATTGTAACATTTATTGTTTCGGACATTCAATATTGTCTAATAACATGTTTAATGTCGCTAAATATTGGCACCATGTGATTATTATAATCGATTAAATATTCAAATCGAGATCTTAACAAAGCAATATTTGAGCGTATAAAGTTAATATTGAACTGAATTAAGTATAACAATATGAATAGTCCCATTTAATTGTTGGGAAACATTACTTTTAAACAATCACAAACATTAAGTCGGCAAGTGACTAAAGTCTTAAAAACTCATTACACAGTTTTGAAAAGATGTAATTAAATCGTTGTTCATTTTTATAGTCTTAAGACTTACACATAACAATATTTAATAATAATTTTTACCCGTTAATAAATGATATGTATTTAAATCGAGTAACTTGTTTTTCAATTTTTTTTTAGATGGATACATTTCATTAAATGCTAGCTACATTTTTTATGAACTCCTGTACAAGTGTGGAATGAATGATGTTTTAGGTATATAAAAAATATTAATAAAAAATGTAGTTATCGCGCAACAACCACTTATACCTTTCGCACATGAAAAGTGATTTACTTACAGTATTTCCATACATTCAAAAGTAGATTATTTTTTCTGTAAGTTCTATAAATAAAATTGCACATTTCATTCCAGAAGTAAATGATAATCTACAATAATACTGGTATGGGAGGTTGCGATTTTTCAAAAATACTACGCAACTTCCATTTCTTATCTCTACAAATATATATTTTTTTTCATTTTTAAATAAATTTGTAAACAAGAACAAGGACAAAACACAACAAATAAAATACATCTTAGCCTAAACTTGCAGAACTAAATCCAAAACTAATACCACAAAAAGGTGTGCATGTAGTTTTAGAGTACCATATCATCTTTGGTTATCGTTTACGTTTACTAAAATACGGCTAAGATCTTCAGTCTTCATTAAAGTGCTGCTGGAAACTTCAAACACCTTTTGAATGCGCTTAAACGTGGCTAAATCGTAAACCGAGCGTGCTGTATTTGTAAGATCAAAAGGTTCCTCGATGCATAAATATTTCCACTGATGCGGATCATTTTTAAGAGAGCGTGCGTAACGACACTCGTCCACCGTTACGCGAGCTGCAACTCGCACAGATATCGCGTGTACATCGAAGTTAAAATTTGCGTAATAATATAAAAATCCATTTAATAATTCCCCTAACGATTGCTTATTATCGGATACAAATCGAGGTAATTCTTCTTGTACATCAATATCGTGGATTTCCCTGTCGGGGTTAAATTTCTCAGGGTACAGACCATGCAAGCATGGTATTACTGGAGGTACCACTCCACCTATTAAAAATAGAGCAATAATTGTATAACATCACACAGAAATTTAATTAACCTTCACCTAAATAGGTCTTTACCTTACTTGTAATACAAGATATCCAACTGAAATACGTACAAAGCATTTCACATCCAGCGCCAACTGTTACTAGTCCATTTTTTACAACTTAGTAAAAGTATATTGCAAATAGGGGCGGGAATATAGAAGTATATGTCCCCAAAAGTGTGTAGTCTTGCTAATTACATAAAAGTTCCATAGCACACCTTCCTTTTGTGGGGTTGAACCAATGTCACTTGTCAGGACATAAAGAAACGAAATTGTTCAGTTTTTCACTTTACAACCAGTTGCCAAATTCTTGACAGGGCAGGTTCCTAGTTCAAAGCAAATATTTAACAAAAGAAAAACGTTTTTGACAGTCTTAAATCCTTTATGGCTAATATAGGTACATTGCCAAAAGTCATATTAATTTGTTGTATGTGCCGTTTTATTACTAAACACTAAATTGTTCAAATTCCCACATGAAAACTTTTAACCTCTTACAAAATTCAATGTAATTTGGATGTTATATCTTAAACTATTATTAATGAGCAATTTTTATTGGTGCATAATTGAAAATTGCTTTGTTTTGGATTCTTTCTATTGTTTTGTGCATCTTTTTCTTAAGACATGACTCAACGCATTTTCCGTCAAGCATGCGAAAATTGTTTAATGATCTCTTCCACAGTGCTCAAAGCCCCAAATTGCGAAATTCTCATCCTTTTCGTGTGCTCTTTTTTTAAGAAAAGATACTTTCACGTTCCTTAGAACAGTCATTTTCTCGACAACGACAATACCACATTGAAAATACAGGCTCTCGTCCGATCACCAAAGTTAAGCCAGGTCACGCCCGCTCAGTATTTGGATGGGTGACCGCTTTTTTTAAATTTTTGCTCATGTTTATCTATTGCTTTTATTTATATTTTGATTTTAATGTCACAGGGCAACATATAATTAGTTTTAATTCCTAATTAGAATTAATTGTAATTCCTAAAGAATTAATTTAATTTTGGTGACAAAAATTTTTAATTTTTTAACGTTGACATTTTTTTCTCAGTTTTTTTGTAATAAAACCTGGCACAATTGTTGTAGGTACAGAAAAATAAGGTTAGGTTACTTTTTGAAAAAAAAAAGTTAGATGGCGTTGCGGTGCTCCAAAATTTTTTTCAAAAATTCGGTCTGTTATTTTTCGTTTCCGTATGCCTAATATGCATATCCAACATTTGAAACGAATCCGTCGAGCCGTTACCTCGGAAAATTGCCAACATACGCACATACAGACGGAAAAAAAATGTATTTTTTAAAAGTTGCTTAAAATGATGTAAAACGTTGACATTTTGACATGTCCAAAAAACGGTGATCGCAATAGCTAACTTACCTCATGCTAGGAAGCTAAAAGTGACCCTCAGTGGTACAGTACAGGGTGTTCCAAATTACTTGTTTTAGATGTTTTTCGGGATATTTTGAGAATTTAAAGAGATAAGAGTGATGCGGTTTGTACTTCTCGTAGTGACTTTTCAAAGCTGCCTAGATTGACAATGTCGTATTACTTGCGCGAACGTGGCAACAGCGCAAAAGTCCAAAAATGCAATAGAGTATGAAGAATTAAAAGTTATAAAAATACCCTTTTAGTAAGCCAGTATTTTTATAAAGTTTGGTTTTTCAAATAGAATGTATAATGTTTTTTTGCGCCAATAAATTCCGTATCTTTTTCTAATTAAAAAAAAACAAAGTTATCAGTATGTTGATAAAAAATTTGAGATAAATAGGGAAAACCGTTATTAGGGCATGGAATATACATTGCATAAATGTGTAAAGCAATGGGGTATACAAGAGAGGATTTTTTTAAAAATATTGATTTATGAAATTTTTTGCTTGGTTTGAAAGTACCAATAACGTTTCGATTGTTTGGGGTTATTGGTACTTTCAAACCAAGCAAAAAATATCATGAAGAATAAATTTTTTTCATAAATCAATATTTTTAAAAAAATCCCCTCTTGTACACCCCATCGCTTTACACACTGTACATATAGTTCATATTTCAGGAAATGCTCAAAATAAGAGTATTTTAATAGCATTTGCTCGTTTATCTAAAAATAACGTTTCATTTTCGCATTTCGGGAATTTCAGGTACAAGTCCTTTATTTCTTTGTTTGTTCTCCGTTCCCGTTTAGAGGGAATGTTTTGAATTTTTAACTTTCGCTACAGAAAGTAAAACGTAGTGTCCAAGGGTAAACTTTGTCATGTGAGATTCAGGAAACATAACATATTTTAGAGTGACTAATACTGAAAATAAGGATAATAAAAAAAGTAAGAGAGTTGAAGAATGCGTGTGGAAAGTAAGAGTTGAAATTACTGCCAAAGAATAGAGAAGTAAAAAAAGAGAGGCAGTTGACAGAGGTGAATCGAACGCGCAAGCTTAAAAATTACATTTAAAAAATATGTTTATGCAAAATATTAATGTATTTTAGTTTTGTGTATTATTTTTTCCCTATAATATATTTTTTATTATGGAACCCTCAAAAACAAAAAATATAAGAAACTAAATATCCTATGGGTTCCAAGTTCCAACCCCTGCCTTTGTACACTACGCCACTGAAACTAATTTCAATGTATAGATGTCAAATGCAGAATTGAAGGGCTCAATAAATTGGTTTCGCTGTTTGGGAGTTTGAAATGAAAACCCCAAGTGAAAAAAATCAAAAAAGGTCCAAAGTATTATTTTGGTATGCCGACATTAAACACACCCCACACAAAGGTACAGACATATGGTACTTTTACTCGATAACCAATGAACCACTGAAACTCCAAGACATGTGCTAACATTTATTTCAACCTGAGTATCCTGTTTTACTGAAGTAGATAAGTGTATATGTACTGTGTAGAATATTATTATTAGATAAGTAAGGTAAAGACCTAGTGATCGTATTCTCAAAATTTAGAAGAAAAACTTACTGGGATTTACAAAGGGTAAGGGAACCATGCTGTTAAAAGGACCGAGCAATAGATTATTTTCATGCCTCCTAAATTGAAATGACAATCATAATTACAAATTGCAATACGAGCCCAAGTTTGAATTAAAGGCTGATGTGGAGTACTTACACTGTAAAAAATGTATCACCATAAGTGCATACGAGTAACTAGAAATTGTCATAGTTTTAGCGTCATTTATACCATTAGCTTGTGCCCATAATTTAACAATAATAATCAACGGTCGCACTCTCCAGTCCAATTGTGTATAACAATGAAGTAAGTGTGTATTGCGTATTCCGACCGTATTATTGCAATTTAAATCTACTTCAAAACCGTGTTCGCTTGTTCTAAATTTTAAGATAGGCACTTTAGCTAAAATCACCTCGGGTGCTTGTACAAAATCTACAAAAACCTATCATCAATAGAAATGATCTTCAAACCTTACCACAGTTAATTAAGGAATTTCTTATTATTTCTAAGTAATAAACCGCGTTGGCCCTATTATCCGTAGCGCCAGTTCTTAGTAATAAACACATATCTATGTCACTATTTTTTGTCGCTAAGCCAGACATCGTGGACCCTACCATAAATAAACCGTATCTTTCGAACAGTTTCTAAAATACATCTATGAGTGAGGAAACACTGTAAAAAAAAAGATGCTTACTGTAATGTGAAGAAACAGCTTCGCCCATAAATCCAATTTATGAAGGTAGGTTTCTTCGGACTGCGCTTTCGCACAAAATAAGTCCCATATTGCCTTATCTAATTGATTCATTTTATTCACTTTTGCAGATAAAAGATCTGTTTTAAATAGTTTCGCTCTGGACGTAAATCGCTGGACCAGACCACTGATATGCAAATGGGTTTTAACTTTCCTAGGCTTTTTTCCATGGTTTCCATAATATCTGTAAAAAAATAGTAATATTCCTCTAATTCACGTGGTCTCTAATTTATTGTCAGTAGATTAACTTAACAAAATTCTCGCATGATTAGGATGTTGTACGCCAGTGCACCATTCTGTTGAAACCAACAGAGTTGCCAACTTTTGTTTTTTTTTGTGTGCTGTACATCGTTGTATTCATATTAAAAAATGATACGCAATGGAGATTTCTCCGTAACAAAACATTGTATTAAAAATTTCTAAACTTTGTCTTGTAGAGCTCCAAAAGTGGCAATGAGAAAGTGTTTTTTTATTTTTTTGTATTAAATTTGTTCAAATAAGATTTAAAAAAAATAAAAACGAAATCCGCAGAATTCGGTTTTTCTGACATATCTTCGGAAATAATCGAAATTTTCTGATCTAATTAGTTGGGTTTTTCCGGAATATTTTCCCACGTTCTGAAATCGCATTGAGATTGCGGCTATATTAACTTTGAACCAGCTTTTTATGTCCTGTGCACTATTTTGTAATATTATATTCGCAAGGTAAACATGTCATTATCATTCACTTAAAGTAAAACAGTGTTTTTATGGGATTTTTTTATTAAAATCATTTTTTTCAGTACCATCAATGGTACTTATGCGCAGTATCAGCACTATATGTACAGGTAGTATTGGGTGTCCCAATTTCAACACTTTCATCGGGTATCTCCATAATTGCTGGTGCTTGCAAAAAAGTAATATGGGGGTCATGTGCTCTTTTTTGGCTCAAACTTTAGTATTAAGATCATAATTTGAAAGTTTTCACGCGCTCGCCGATATGGGGGGAAATCACAAAATTGTCAATTTTAGAATATTCTTACCTTGATTCTTACAAAACTTTTATTTAGGATTGTTGAATAATCTTCCATTTCCAGAATAAGTATATGAGGGCCAGGTAATGACCTACCTTCATTTTTTTAATGAAACACCATAGAGAGAAAACGCAAAATATGAGAAAAAAATTTAAACTTTGCCACCATGTATAACGTGAAGGTTCTAAAATGCGTTTATTATAGCTTTGCACATTCTATCATTAGTTACGCCATCATTGCCTGGGGTCATTCTACAGCAATGAAAAGAACGTTTGCCATGCAAAGGCACTGTGTGCGGAATATTGTAAATGCTGGCTACAGGGAGGACTGTCGCAATATCTTTAAATCGTTGCAAATTCTAACAGCTCCATCACAATACATTTTTGACTCAGTTTTGTTGTTCGTTCATAGAAATAAATCAAATTATATAACGCATAAAAATGTTCATTCTTACAATACTCGGAACAAAAATCAAATATACAGTGTGTAAAGTGATGGGTATACAAGAGGGAATTTTTTTTTAAATATTGATTTATGTAAAAAATGTATTCTTCGTGATATTTTTTGCTTGCTTTGAAAGTACCAATAACGTTTCGATAATATAAAATTTATTTATAGAAATCTGGAAAAATAATAAAATTAATTTTTTTTATTGAATGTTATTCTACATTATAATCAAAATAGCGTATAGGCGCGTACAGACCGAGTTTCCAGCGCAAGCCGAGGCACATATGGTTACAGATTTGGAGGTGTTCGGATTGGTGTGTACCGCACGAGCCAACGGTTTCCAACCGCTTCCAACGGCGCTGTTGGCGTTCGATTGCGTTCGCTCAGTGAGCGGTACATCAAAGGGAAATTTGATGTGGTCTGGACAGGATTTGTCGCGATTTTAGTTTTTAGTCGTTTGTCTGCCTTTTTAAAATGTCCACCATCTTCATTTTGAAGTTCCTCTAGTAAGTGACTGCCACTATACAAACTCCTAATTCATTATTAAAAACCCCGCACTCGCCAGCAGTAAATCGTCCTCGTCGCTTGACATTGTTTAACAGACCAGCAGCACCGGTTACCGAACTTTACCCAACACGGTCCCACCAAGTCCAACTCAAATCTTAAATTTTGGTGTGGATGAGGGCATTCCAATCGTTTCCAACGACAAACGCCAACGTCACATGTGCTTGGATTCGTTGGCTTGGCGTTGGAATCCGGTCTGTACGCGGCTTATTGCTATCAAACAACAAACAATCAAAACGTTATTGGTACTTTCAAAGCAAGCAAAAAATATCATTCCATTTTCTTTACTTTATTTATTTTTTTTTAATTCTCTTTTTATCAATATTCTATTTTTAGTTTAGAACTTAAATGTCAAAGGTATTTATTTATTTCACTAGTTAAAATTACCTATTGCAATATTTATATTGATTTTATGTTTTCTAATATGAGTTCCTACTATAGTTTTAATAATGCAGTATGCGCTTAACGATTTATTTATCTTTTTTTGCGATTGTTCATATATGGATTATGAGTCTGTTGAACAACAATAAACATTATTATTATTATCATGAAGAATAAATTTTTGTCATAAATCAATATTTTAAAAAAATTCCCTCTTGTATACCCCATCGCTTTACACACTGTATAATGATAGATTACGATTAAAAACGTCGCAGACGGCACATAATTATTGGGGCCCTGTGTTGTATAACCGTCTACCTTCTTGTTTCCAATCTCTAAATGAACTTTTCCAAGAAACTTAAAACTTTTTTACGCGAAAATCCAATATATAACATCCAAGAGTTTTTAGATAACGACCTCAAGACTTTAACGTTTTAAGTTTTTTGTTGTTTGTATTTTTTTTTATTTTTTGTTTTAATTTTAATTAATCTAAATGATTTTTCATGTTATTTAATATTGTTCTATATGTTTCATGTATTTTATGTTTATGTGTTATACGATTCGACAGACGAATGTAAGCATTTCTTCAATGTATTAACACAATAAATTACTTACTTACTTACTTACTAAAACGACGCCCTTTAAGACCACGCATATATTTGCATTTTTTTTCATATTCGAGTACCATCACACCCTGAAATATCTGCATGACAAACACCATGTATATGAATAGATTTAAGTGATTCAAAAGACTTTAAAGATTTCAAAATTTGAATTTTTGTGTTACATATTTGAAAAGAAAATTTAATGTGAAAACGGCAGACTATTCAGTCATTATAAAATACATTTGTATATAAAAGGTCTGTACGTCTTTTAACTAAAAAAAGATAGTGTCATTCGGAAATTGACAATTTTTGATTTTCCCCTGTATCTTGTAAGTGAACATGATCAAAGCTTAATTTTACCCTTTTAAGTTTAACTAAAAAAAAAACAAAAGACGCCTATATTACTTTTTTGGTAGCACCAACAATTATGGAGACAAAAGAAAATTGTCAAAAGTGGGATACCCTGTGCATTATCGATCTGCATTACTGGCAAGATGTCAGATAATACTAAATTGGAATATGTATGGTCTGCACATTTTAAGGTAGTGGATAACTCCCAATATTGTGTAAACCTGATGGACTCTGGTAAAAGAATACCTATAGACGAAATCACTAATAATGACACACACAGGCGCAATAAACGTGGTACACCATGTGACTCATAAATCAAAAAAATCATTTAATTTTAATTTTTAATTTGTGATTGTTTTGGGCAGATTGCCTGTGCTTGACGATTGTCACAAAAAACATATGGCTTTTCTAATATTGCAAAAATTATTACATGACAGCTGTCAAAGTTCTACTTTTACTTTTCGAATTTCTGAGCTTTTTTACATTTTTTATCAAAACAACTAAATTCGAGAAATAATACTGACAGTTGACATTAAACCATTCATGCTAAAAAGAGAAAACCACAGCCAACTACTTACCAGAACAATAACTGTACAATTTTTCGTATCAATTTTGTAAAGATACCCAGATACTTAAATATTAGATTGGCATTGATTTTACACAAAATAGTGATAGTAATTGATTGCAAATAAAATCTGAAATTTTTCTTACCTATTTTTACCATAATTATTGTTGTAGTTCTGATTGTTAGAGTGACAAACAAATTCAGAAGTCTTATCACATCTGTAGTTGTTGTTATTATAAAAGGTACTTGTGTATGGAAATCTGTAACTATTTCGACGTAATCCCACACCTAACAAAATCATTACAATTACGCAAATAATAAATTAATCAATCGCACCGTTATTGTGATCTTCGTGCTGAACTCCCCACTGTGGCCTTTGCTCTTCAAAGTTCGCGTTGTTTTGGTGATTATTCCTTTTGTTCACGTTAACATTATACTTTGTAACATAGGAATTATGCGGTGGCGGTGGTACAGTATTTAATTGCATTACGGGTGTTGCCACGCAGAATGCTATAGCATTTAAGTTACAATTTCGTCCTTCTACGTCGCACACACTGTTAATTGCAGGCACATCTTTGGAAAGTTCTTCATCGTACCCATTTTGAGCGAGAGCAAAGTGGCGCATATTTTTGGCTTCGTAATACTTCGACAGTGGCATTGTTCTTAAGGTAGAGGACAGTTGTATTGGCATAGAATAATCATTTGCTAACATGTTTCCTTAAGCCTATATTACATTCATTTTATTCACTCAAAAGATGTTTTCCTCTTCTAAAAAAAAACAAGTGATAACAGTATTACGGCGTATTTTTAAATTGTAACGTAATTATCTCTTTATAGAACTGTTAATTTTCTTACCAGTCTGATAAGATGAATCAATAGATAAACGAACTAACGGCCATATTGGCTACACTTCTTACCGCGAAAATGCGTTTGCTAAATTTTAAAAAAGAAGATGAACAGGTTATCAAACACCATTACCAACCGCTTCGATATACATGGTAATTTAAAATCGTCTATTCTTAAACGCATTGAATATATACATGGTGCTACCTTTGAGCTGTGTCAAAAAAATCTTTACAAGTAAAACGAGACTCTCAAATGTTTAATTCGGCACCTATACTCTTAAAAAGGTTTCAAAATTGTATTTCTTTTTTAATTTTTTCTCGATTAGGTACCATAAGACGTCTCAGTGTGGGTTACTTGACGGGCTGCTGCGTATACAATTATGCTGTTTAGATTTTAAGTAGTAAAAAACTCAAAATAATTTGCCTGCAGCAGAGAAACTTTCAACCCTCAATTTAACACAGAGTGAAAGTGGCAACACCTAGAGTCGTCCACTTTCTGCACCATCCTCACGTACACTTTACCATTTGCAAATTAATTAATACCTATACAAAAGAGTAAAAAGGTACTCGCCCTAAGCTGAGGTGAATAAATTTACCGCATTTTAGATGCATTAATCAAGTACTTACTCCCCAAAAGGCCATAGCTACGCGTGCTATCTTTTTTACTAGAAGCATCTATTTCAAAGAAATGTCTATAAAGTTGGAATTGTGCATAACGTACAAAAACCGTCCCAACCACATTTTGAGTGTCTAAAATGCACATCTGACATCACCCTTTTTTCTCCTTCGATTCCTGATGTTACCTATCTCATCAACTTCCAGAATTTAAGCTAAATTGTTGTTATCAGTGGGCAAATGCATTAAAATGACATTACACATTGGAAATTATGACAATTAGTTTTAAATTACAATCGGCATCGCAGCACTAAACACTCCCATAAGGATTGCATTGCCCTATGTTCCCTGTACTGTAAAGTCAAGGTGAGACGGACTATAGAAGCATCTCAAGTTCGTTGGATGCGCTAAAAAGAAACTTATTTTTCATCGAGGATAATTTAATTAAAATTAGTGACAAGGGATTATTTATTCTCTTTGTATTTGTTATAATTTTAGCCAAAATTGGATATCGTGATGATTCTGGGTTAAGTGGAAGAGCACGAAAAAAATAATTGAAGGGCTCAATGAATGAAGATGGTAACATATAATTCAGTTTTTGTACATTTCCATTATCTTAATAAATTAATTATTAGTAGGTACCTACACGTATTAGTAGTAAGTGTGACGTCATGATAGTATTATCGTAATAAATATGCCATTTCCAAAATGTCGTATCTAACCCCAAATTTTGAAAAAAGTCAGTTAGGTACCTCCGTTATTCAGGAAATACCTAAGGCAGAAGATCATTCATCTTAATAATGGATAATTAAATATTATTATTAGTTGTTTTAAAGTAAATGTTGTATGAAAGAGGGAAACATAAAAATTCCTCTGGGTGAAACTTGAATTTTAAGTTAGTCTTGAGTGGAACCAGGACAGTGTTTGTTATTATTTTATAAATAAATCGGTTGGAGAGAAATCTTGTCTTTTATTTTATAAGCGTAATACGTTTATTTATCCTATATTCAAAACATTAAAGGGATATTTTAACCACTTTTATTAACAGTTTCAGAATACTTATACCCGGTGCGAACAGTTGGTTGGATGTTCAGGTTCAGTCAAAGTAGCTACTTACCAAACTTCTGCTACTACTGACACATTGACGATTTTAATGCCATATTTCCTTTCAAATGTAATTAGTTAGCCGTTTGCAACCGTTCCCGTCAAGATATTTGATATTTTTGTTACAATTCTTGTCATTTAGAAGACGATGGCAAATTAATATTTCAGAATTTCAGTCCCAATTGTCCATTACAGCTAAACATTTCCCATAAGACCGCTTAAACGTTTAAATACATAAAGAATAGCTGCACCATAAACAATTTCAAGGAAGCTCCGTAACAATTATAATGCAAGTATGTCAACACAACTTGCAATTCTTTGCAGGTTTCAAAACATAACATCGCATGCTACGTCTATCTGCATTAGGTTACTGTTACAGATAGCCTAAGTTCTTGTACAACATGCTGTATATTAACAATTAAGTTGAAGAAAAACAACAAGGAAGACAGATAATCAATAGATAAAAAATATGTAACATTTAATACTAGCATTTGTACAATTATTTACAATAGGAAACCTATATACACTTTAATAATAAGGTCGCCGAGGATTATTCTGTAAAAAAGTAATTAATTAACATCTAACTAAAATTGGTAATTTGAATACCTACTAATGGATTAGGTCGAAACCTATATGCAAGCATCATTCTTTTTCTATAAGCGTCATATTCATCATCTGTTGTATCCATGCTGCTTGGGTTGGTCACCCCCAGACCTTGATTTTGATCACGAATTGCACCTCTAAAATTAATGTGTGTCCTTAACACGTACATACTCGGTTAAATAATTATACGAGGTGTACTTTTCAAGTAAATGCAATTTTGAAATTGAAATTACCCATTTATTCGCACCACATATCTATATCTGTTGGCTGGTTCTTTTGCATATCAAAACAGTCCGTAACTTAAAAAATACACCTCGTAATTCTTTACAATATAAAATGTTAATGTAGGTATATGATCATACTTTCACCAAATTTAAATAGGTATGCCTTTTTTATGTTCATTTAAAAATTATCCACCTCTAAAGCTCTATATTTTTGATTTGATTGGTTAAAACACAAGTGAGTATTACGCTGAATAATAAAACGAGTGACGAATTTTGTAAGCCGATAATTATGTTGTTTACTAAACTGTCGAACGGTCATTAGCTCTTAATGTCAACGAACCAAGCGTGAAACAGTGTAATTTATTTCTGTTGTCAGTGCTGGATATATCAAACACAGCGCCATCTTCCACCTTCTTATAATGAATGCAGTATAATAAAAAATATATTATTTATGAAGTAGTAGGTTGCTTGTCCTTAGAAAAAAACGACACAGCATTTTTGTATTGGAGAAAATTAGTTTATTTATTATCGTTTATTGCCCTGAGCACTTTCTCAGGCGGTCCTTCAAAAGTTTTAAGGTCATTGGTATTAGGACTGCTCCTGACATTTTGGATCCTTCAAGCATGGATCGGTTCATAAATTAATGTTCACTGTAACTATTGGTTGTAAACTGTGCGTCACCTTGTTGGTTCATGATCAGTCAGATCATGAACCAACAAGGTGACGATATGGATCGTGTCAGACATAGCAACCATAGGCTAGTCAAAATAGGTGGTTAAGGTAGAAAAAATTAGTAACAAAGTGATCTCTGCGGAAATGAGTACCCAATAGGGTCCTTATTAACCCCTCAAAAATCGCACTTTGTCGCATTGGTGGAACTTGGAAAAAAATTGCCGCTATCTTGATTTTTTTCGAATTTATTAAATATTTCGTAAAGTATACATTATATCAAAAAAACTCAAGAGACTTTTTTTTATGGAGAATCAAAAGTTACCTATAATAAAAAAATGTTTAAGTCTATTGATCAAAAAACAAAAAAGTTATTGACATTTATATGATTTGGCAATATCGATTTTTTTTAAATTTGGTAAATATCTGAATTAGTTAAAACTGTTTTGTATGCCCAATTTTGAAAATAAGGATTTTAAAGTAAAATACTCAATAATTGGGTAATTATTCACATCTGCGTCCAGACTTAAAATTATTTTAAATCTGTACTGGTGTCCAAAGAAAATTCATGATTTAATGTAGCAGGTAAGTAGAGGGAGGCAAATAATTGAATGTTTTCTTTAGGTTATCGCCTCACTAGAGTCGTTTATATATTTTAGCAAGGTCTGATGATGAGGGCCGCCCAGAGGGGGGGGGGCAACTGGGGCGATTTGCCCCAGGCCCCCGATTTCAAAGGGCCCCCGTGTTGGTCGTGGATCTGTGAGGATGAATGAAACAGCAATAGGGTTGCTGTTGCCACATTTTCATTTGTACGGCCGATGATTTTTTGCGAAGAATAGAAAATGACAACATGAATGTGGCTGTTCCCGGTAAAATAATGCGGTAAATCACTTGTCAGCATAATAAACAAGTAGAAATTATGCACATTTCTTGTGCAGATAAAGCGCATTTTTTAAACCGCATGGAAATATTTCTCCCAGATGTACTAATTCGACAATCCGCTCTTGAGCGATGACCCCCGCATTCCCCCGTCTCATATCTTCATGAGAAGAAGTTGCGGAGGGAAGTTATTGTTTGTAGAAACCAATTCCTTTCAATGAGACCTTTCATTAGAATACCATGAAGGGTAAAACGTGTGTTCACCCCCCCCCTCCATTTCCCCCCATTTTGTTCAATTTTTTCTATTCCAAAACAGGGCCCCAAAATTTACTTTGTCCCAGGCCCCTGAAATTGTCTGGGCGGCTCTACAGTGATGATGAAGTGAGCTTCGAAATCGATAACCTAGAGAAAATAAAAACATTCAATTATTTGCTTCCCTCTACTTACCTGCTACATTAAATATATCCAAATAATTAACATGGAGCAATACATCAATAAAAAAAAAAAGATTCATGATATTAATGTGCTGTTTGGCAGCTTCTTCGGTTGGTGGTAATGAGGCTAAACACAATTCTTAATTTAAGCCGAGATTTAAGCTTTGCCTTGAAGTCATGCGCATATACTTGCGTAACGCATCATAGGGATTTAAATGTAAAATTCATAACATGCGATTATTGGCTCCCCAAATTATTTTAGAGCAAAAATGTATTAAGTTTTTTTGTAGGAAAAATTGTTTTACGCCAATCAACCGTATTATTTTTCAATTTTTTTCATATAGACGGAAAATTGGAAAAATAAACCTATAATCTCCACTGCCATGGAATTTTCTAAAACAAAAAGATATCCAGTTATCAATTAGCAGCAGATCGAAATGGATTTTATGATCGACTTGGTTACTGTCTTGCAGTTAATGGTGACTTATTCGAACATTTATTGTAAATTGTTATATTAGGAAACCGTTTTTAGTAATTTGGTCTTTCTTTATATTGAATTCGCTGTTCTAAATATAATACTTTTTGATAGAATTTGATTTGTTTATAGCAGACATTCCATGGCATGACGGATATTGGCGTAGTTTCTCTATTATAAAATTCCATGGCATCACAGATTATTGAAAAAGATGGGGGATTTAATTTTCCAATTTTCCGTCTTTATTATGTAAAAAATTGAAAACTAATACAATTTTTCCTACAAAAAAACTTAATACATTTTTGCTCTAAAATAATTTGGGGAGCCAATAATCGCATGTTATGAATTTTACATTGAAATCCCTATGATGCGTTACGCAAGTCACCACCCTGTATAGTGTGTGACGTAACTGGTTAATATCATGAATCTTCTTTGGACACCGGTACAGATTTAAAATAATTTTAAGTCCTGATTTAATTAAAACTGCTATATCTGCATTAAGTTCTTGAAATACATCTAAGTCTCGACACAGATGTGATAATTACCCAAATCATATAAATTTCAATAACTTTTTTGTTTTTTGATCAATAGACTTAAACTTTTTATTATAGGTAACTTTTGATTCTCCATAAAAAAAGTCTCTTGAGTTTTTTTGATATAATGTATACTTTACGAAATATTTAATAAATTCGAAAAAAATCAAGATGGCGGCCATTTTTTCCAAGTTCCACCAATGCGACAAAGTGCGATTTTTGAGGGGTTAATAAGGACCCTATTGAGTACTCATTTCCGCAGAGATCACTTTGTTACTAATTTTTTCTACCTCACTTGTGTAAACCTGCCTAGATTGACCAGCCTACCATGGAAAAATGCCAGTCTGGTATGGTGAAGACTATGTGACAAATTTTGGCATTATTTGTTAATGAATAATTAAACTCACAATAATAAAACTTTAGATTTGGTTATATTCCTTTTTTTTAATATAATCGTGTACGCAAAAATATAAAAAAAAAATAATAATAATAACGGTCTTTAGTGGTTTTGTTTTAGCTAGCCACGAAAAATACACTGCCTAGGGCGAAATTCAGGAGTAGAAAGTCTACCCCTGCTCTTCCATCTAACTCTCTTAAATTTCAAACCCATTTGTAAATGTGTATTTATCATTTTCGTATTATGTATGCAGCATCATGGATAATAAATTTAAACAATACACCATACTTGTATATGAACTTACTTATTTACTGGATCGACAATACCACAAGCATTAACTCCTAAACCCTGCCCTTCCGACCAGCCAAGCTTCTGAAGCATCTTAAAACCGACATTATCTTCTTTTAACTTAAAATCTTTATAATCGGACAGCTCCATCGGACGACCTTCCTTGAAAGCAGAATTACTTTCCAAAAACCGTTTTAATTCGTCTGGCGGCAAAAAATCTCCAATATGATGTTTCCCCTCCGCGTTTCGTGTAAGCTCGGTCGCCCATTGGTGGGTAGAGCTCATTTCCTAAAATCACAGTTTACCGATTGCCGTCTGCGCTCGGGATATTACTTGAATTCGAAGTTTATGTTCCCAAGTTCCACCATCCGTTTCTTCATCGGAGTCATACTCGTATTTGTTTTTACCTACTTGTGCGAGGCGATTATTTTCTTCCTTCTTTCTAAGCATTTCTTGATAAACAAGATTAACTTTAAAATTCTCCTCCGCCTTTTTCCACTCCTCCTCCGATAGGTTGGTGGATCCGTACACGTTGAGTACATATTGTATGAGATGAGGATCGTTTTTAGTAATTTTAGAAAGCTTGACACCTAACAATTGAAAATAAAGTATAGTACTTCGGAGTGGTCTACATACAAGGCGAATTAATTGTAGGCATTAATGAAATTTGAATTGGAAAAGTGTCACCAATTATGGTCGGTGGTGGTATTGACAATTCCTTGCTTCCCCATCGACTCTTGCGTTTACGGCGTGACGTATCTCCATTCAGCTCATCCTCATCACTGTGAGATTGCAGTCTTTCCGTTTTTGTAAACTGCACCTAAAGCAAATGTGCAAGTGTGTAAAAATACTGTACAACAAATTACTTGGAAAATTGACACCTCTGGTTTAGTGGTAAATAAGTCATCGTCAGTCGCCATCTCAGGCTCATATATATCTTCGGGTTTATAATTTTCAACTTTCACCTCCATTTTTCCCATCTCTAATTTGGATTGTTCGATTAGCTGCAAGTATTGTTGATAGGCTGCCGATTCCTTGTGGAATAAAAACCTACAACACCCAGACATGTCGAAGAATCTCATTTGAACAAAATTAATAAGTAAAGTAGACCGTTTTAAGCCCACAGCAAGACGACTTTTGTCATGAAACATTTTTAACTACTGAACAGTGTAAATATCAAAAAGATAAATGCAACATGACAAAAGTGTCTGAAAAATGCTTCAGAATGAAAACGCTGTAATCCCTGCATACCACAAATTAGGATCTTGAGGCTTGCGTTCACGAACGATGTCCTCTATGCCTGGTCCACATTGAGCCACCATACGACCCAACGAAGCCATGGCTTCAAACTCGGAGGTACCTGGGGGACACACTTCACAAACCGTCACTAAAAGCCCCATACAAATACAGGGCTGGCTCAAGTTTAAGATGCATTTAATGAGAAGAAAAAGTTGTTACACAATCATAAGAACCAACCCTGCTTAATATACAACAGATAAAATGTTGCTGCAGCCTTAAATACTCACGTACCTATAAATAAATAAAAATAGATCTACTCGAGAACTATTATACAAACAAAAACAAGCTGAATGTTTCCAACAGACGACTGCGTTTAATGGAATGCTCTGGTCTAATGACTTCAATTATTAACAGAATTTAAAATATAGACAATTTCGTACAAATTAATTCAGGATGTTTGTGGTCACCATGAGATTCTGGATTATCTAACAAGATAAAATATGGAACATTTGGGGCAAAGTTGAATAATAAATAAATAAATAGGATAATTTTGTTTTCATAAGAATTTTTTTATTTTTTTATGTAAACCTGCATCCACCTTTCGGTTATTAGCAGCGGAAATTTAGGCACAATTTGGTACGTGTAGGTATCCTTAGATCTGTGAGGTAACCTTAATGTGGGAAACTAAGAAGGTGCAATTATTGTTTGGGTATTTCAGATACAAATGGCGACACAGGTCTTAAAGTGCTGTCTCAAATTTTTGTCTCTTACATTGAAAAGTGGACCAACAGACTAGAAGCGCTGGTGTAATTTACAAATGGCGGGTATAGGTGGGAGCAGTTCATAAATATAGGGTTATTCTACCGTTTTTGTGAAAATACAGGCTGATTCAAATTCGAGGGGCGCCATGGGTATCTCAAAATTTGATAGACAGGTAGTTTAAATTTGTCAAAGTTGCGTATTTTGATGCTCAACAAAATGTCGATTTTAAATTGAAAAAATTCCGACTACCTTTGGAGATTTCTTGAAACAAATTGTAAATCAGCATATGCATGATTAAAGCGCATTTTTGGTAATGCAGGTCAGTATTTTATTAGCGAAGTTTAAAATTATCGATCTCACGAGTAATTTTATCTGCGTTAAATAATTAATTTTATTTAATTTCAATTGACGGTACGTCTTCATTTTGGAAAACAAATCATTTTTTTTCTGATTTCAAAAATGTAAATATCACTATTTTTAACAATAAATGGCGCTATTAATTTGAAAAAACGCTGCAAGAAACTACGAGCATACACTACCCAAGATATAGTTTGCCAAGAAAAAAAGAAGATTTTTAACAATATTTAAAAAACAGTGATGTTTACATTTTTGAAATCGGAAAAAATGCTCTATAAAATGACACAAAAAGTAAAAAAGACTTTCATGAGAAAAAATAAAAGTTGATGATTGTTAACCGGAGATACAAGTCAAACTTAAAATTTAAAACTACCATCTTATAGGTAGAGGAAAAAAGTGGCCATAATGACGTGTCATTTATTTGAAATACTTTTTAAATAAAATCGGTAAAAATAAAAGAATTTTGCAAAATTTCGTTTTTTTCAGAATATCTCCAAAAGTAACCGGACTTTTTTAGAAACGGCATTTTAGTAAGCATCAAAATACACAACTTTGCCACATTTGAACTACCTATCTATCTCTTACAGTTTCAGAGATCCCCATGGTGACCCTCGAATTTGAATCAGCCTGTATATTTGAGGATATTGTTGTATTATTTAGTTATTATCTGTATTCTATCTTCGGAATATAATCTTTTATCATCGATTTGATATAAAATTTGTTAATTTGTTCCGGAGATATCGCGTTGTAACATTCCACGCTGAACACCCTGTAAGCAATTATCCATCATTATTGATAAATACGATAATCGAGGTCTATCAATATTTTTTCCAGCCCTAGTTACCAACAATACAATTTAATTTTTAAACCCTAATCCGACCTGTATACAATTTTATCAATTGTTAAGCTCCATCTTAAAATTGACACTTGTATTATGTCTCATTTCACATTATGTATGGTGTATGACATGTCTTTTTTGTTTTAAAAAACAGCTCTGATGATCATATACAAATAAATTGTGACTGATGATGATTTAAAAACGTCATCTGGGCGGTTGATACCTATTTTTATTATATGGAATAAAGCGATTGAACTCAGGGAAGACAAAAGTGGATAGAAGCATTCGAAATGTGGTATAGGAGGACAATGAGGATTAGCCGGAAGGATAGGGTAACAAACAAAAGAGCCTTAAAGCTAGTACAAAGATGTGAAAATGAAAAGATTTGCGGAGGATATGAAAGGGACCGCGTCCAAGCAATCCTAGGATTTCTTGTAAAAATAACCTTGGCGATTTCATCAATAAAAAAAACAACAAAAAAAGTCAAATTGTTTTTTCACGATGATCCAATCAAGTCACCAGGGTCAGTATCACATGAAATGTGACTTCGTTAAAATCACAATTTTAGCGTTTTTTTTTTACACAAAAAATTGATATTTTATAGACTGAAGGTGAAGTCACCAAGGTCAGTTTTACAGAAAATCTAGCTCTGTTTATAAGCTTTCAGCTCCAGAGTTGAATTGTGCGTGTTTTTTATACCCAACCAATCAGATGTTAGCTTTCCGTTTTCCACGAAAGCAAAGTTTTGGAGGTATAACCTCAATTTTAGCATTACTTAACACACAAATTTGGTTTGGTCCCAAAGACAAAAAAAATTCTGTCGAGTAGTGTTTTATGCCAATAACCAAAAATCATTAGAAATTGGCAAAAACAGAATATATAGTGTGTGCCAGATCGGGTGGGATTGCATGGGTAACTTTCTTATTATTAAAGACAGAGAATTGATTAAATGGACAATGTTTTGCAGTTTTAGATGCTTATTTATAATTTACTTCAAACTGTCGAATAGGTTCGACGTAAATTCAAAAAAACTAAAATTGCTCCCTTTAATGTCTTATATCATCGGATGTATAAGAGATATAAAAAAAAGTTTTATATAAAAGTTACTGTCTTTGATACGCTTAATTTAGAATTGATGTTAAAAAAAATCAAGATTGGCTACTATTGAGGAACATTTACCAACTTTCTAAAGTTAAATAGGCGCCATATTGGATTTTTAGTTTATGTGATAGATTGTCTTTTCAACGAGCTATCATAGCATAAGATTGGAAATAAGATACCAATTATATCAACGATTTTTATATTTTAATCAAGTAGGCTGTGATGAATTAAAAAAAAACAAAACAAAATCTATTCGAGGCAACAAAACAATGAAAATTAATTACATCAGATGTCGAATAGGTCGACATTTTGAATTTATATTTTAAATAAGCATCTAAAACTGCAAAACATTGTCCATTTAACCAATTCTCTATCTTTAATAATAAGAAAGTTACTCATGCAATCCCACCCGATCTGGGACACGCTGTATATTGATATTTTGAACACTACACAAATGATCAATGGACTATTTTTTTTCTAGAAGATAGTAGGCAGTCATTGGTGAAAAAATCAGACAATGCTTCTAGCTGGTATTCCACTAATTTATTTCAAAGTCCGTTAAAATGGGTGTTTATTGATTTTACATTACACAACATATACAGGGTGGTGCTTAGCGCAACACAGCATAGCGATTTCAATGGTAATTTCTTTATAGTCAATTACTAGCTCCCCTAATTATTTTAAAGCAAAAGTCTACTTTTTTTAGAGAAAAAATACTGCATCTGTTCATACTATTACTTGTAATTTTCCGTTTTTGAAAACCGTAGAAATTGACAAAATAAAAAAATCAAATTTTTATAAATCGGTGATGCTTTGGAATCTTTTAACACACCCTGTATACAAATCATCATTATTTCCACTCGGTTCGCAAATGTGATGGAGACATTACTACAAACGAATTTGATCTCGCACTCTAAATCTGCGTTTAAGTATTATAAGTACAAATGGTCATACAGTAAATGTGATTACAATAAAAATTAGAATTAATGAATTAATATGATTATGTTACACGTACAGCATCTAGTGGACGCGATCCGAAGCTGCCAAGACGTTTGAAAGCCTCTTTGAAGATGCATTTCTTGTTTCAGGGAGATATCACCAGGTATTTTTCAGAATTTTCGTCGCGATATATACCGAGTGGGGCAATAAAAAGACACGTGTTTTGGGATTAAGCAACATTTTTAGGCCATATATTGCAACAAATCTTAAGAGCATAAATGAAAATCTGGATACAAGCTGATTATAGGGATTTATTATTCACGTCTGGTAAATTTTGTATGCAAAATCGTGTCAATTTTCACGAGTACTTATTATTTAAAAAAAAATGATTTTTACAAAAGCCAAAAATAGGTTAAAACCAAAAAGAAATAGATAATTGTTGATTTCTTTAAACGTATTTTTTATTTGGATTTTCGACTGTGACCCGTGGTGCATATAAAAAATTTTATTTTGGCCCCCCTGGAAAAAAAGGTTGCCCAATGAGATGGTGAGAATGGTGAGATACTGGTCAATTGGTGCGAGGAGCAAACCGCACATCTTTTTTCGATGCTAGAAACCAAGGAACTTCCCCATCTGGTTGCTGATTGATGTAAACGAGAAGTTGTGAAAGCATAAACATCACATGTACCAGAGCCTACTATAACTACTATATTTATTAAATTTTCTCATTTTAATTGTCCCATACCATTTGCACCGTACGTAGAATCTTAACACACGAGATTAGCAAGAATTTAAAATGCGTCCAGTGCAGTTCCTTTACAAAAACCCAAAAATTACAAAACCCTGGTTTTCGTTACGAAATGTTTTTGTAAAAAAACTCACCCGGTTTTTGTTTGCCAACCCTGACTGTTAGCTTATGTCTCTCACATAATATGTTGGCACAGATTTAGTGACTGTAGGCAATATCTGTGGAATATACATAGGACATAGGGTATTGTTTTTCCCTTGTCTACTTGTAAATTACAAAATCCTTCTGAAGGGCGCCTAATTTTATGCAACGAAAATAACTTCTTAAAACAAATAAAGATCTGGCTGTCATATTAATTAACTTGAATATTGTTACTTTGGCTTCACACAAAATAAATAAATACGACTAAATCTTTGGCGTAAAAAATATATAACGCCATTTATGCATCCTTCAAAAACCTTTGTGTCAAACATCGTATTTTGGTTATCGATTTCAGACCTTGCTAATATACAGAACATCGAAATTGTGCATTTTTTAAGTGATTCGCTTACACTTTGTGTGAAAATTGCATTAAAAAAAAAATTATACATTTCTGTTACTCAAAATACACCTAGACCAGAGCATCCCACACAAATGGCGATGATAAAAAAATATATAAGGTATTTACCTGACGATAAATCTTTAAACGACTGCATTGGTGTAGCTGTAGGCGGTGGTATATTAATAGGAGGTAATTGGGTGGTAATTGGAGGAGGTTGGTTAACGAAAGATGCAGGAATAGTGCATAAAGGTGCTGTCGCCGTTGAAGTAAGAACAACAGGTGGCGGGCAATGTATGTTAACAGGAAGAGCGGTAATATTCACGTTTGGTGGAGGTAAAACGGGTTGCGCCAACAGAGACGGAATAACTGTGGGTGTGGGGGTGGCGGTTATTACGCCCACTGATGCGGAATTTTGAACGGATAGTGCGACAGATATCGATGATGGCGGAGTAAATGTCACTTGGGGCGGTGGCGGCGGCGGTGGTGCATAGCTTTGGACGGTGGTTGGAGTTATTTGCGATACTATGACATTCTGGACGGTAGGCAAGGATTGAATGCAGGGGGTAGTAATGATTTGTGGGGGTGGAATCGAGTGCACAACAATGTTTTGCGAAGGTAAAATATTTTGCACTGATACCACACTTTGAGGAGGAGGGATTGACGTGGAATGAAGTGCATTTGGTGGCGGGACCGATATATTCACACTTATAGTCGTGTCTTGTAGACTGGGTGGAGGAACTGATTTATTAGGAGGTGGTATGTTTTTTATAAAATTCGGATCAGACATGGTTTTCTCAATGCAACTTCCTTCAGCAGGGGTAGGTATATTGATCACATCTAAGGGTTTCGGGTTTGGTATCTCATTTAATTGAATTGGGGAAGGTGGCGGAATATTTTGAACCTGCAAGGGAGCGGGAGGAGGTATGTTGTGTGTATTAATTGGTTCCGGTTGAGGAATATTTTGGATTTGAATTGGATTCGGTGGCGGTATTGAGGCCAATTCTAAAACAGGAGAACACAGATTAACGTTATTTGGCAATGAAACGGAAGTGGAAGGTGGAATTAATGATGTGATTAAACTGGGCGGAGGTATGTTTGCAAGCGTGTTCGTTACTGATGTTAGAATGGTAGTCGCAGTTAAAGAAACAGGAGAAGCCAGTAATGTTCCAGTAACCGATTGTGGTATAACCTGGGGAGGAGGAACCGTTAACATTACTGGTGGTGCTACTATCACAGAAGTCGAAGTTTGAACATTGGGAGGGAAAGGAAGTTGTGGAGGAAGAACGTCCGTCTTCATTAAAGGCTGACCTATTACATTTTGAGCAATTGAAATTTGGGGTGGAATTTGAGGTTGGACATTAAAATTTGCTTGTGAAATTAAATTGGTATAAGTTGTCGAAATATTAATCTTAGGTTCAACGGCAACAGTAGGGAGCTTATCGGTAAATCGAGATACTTTTATTTTCGCCTTAGGAGAAGGTGATCGATGTCTATGTGACCATCTACTACTTTTATTGCTTCGGTCGTCACTGAAAACATAATATTAAAACAAATTGGAGTAATATCTGAGGAGGAAAACCACTCATTATCTGTACACATATTGACCATTCCCTGATTTTGTTTCGTATATGATTTGTTGCATTGTTTTTATTGGTACACAGGATTTTAGCTGAAAACTAACACAGCCCAATTCACATGATAAAGTAGGTACATAATGCAAAATAATTTTGAACCTGTTGTACACAATTTCCATGAGTGGTTTCCCTCTCAGTAAAATGTAACTTACTTATAGTTTCTATCTTGAAGAGACCTAAACGATTTCAACTTCTGATCAATTTTCTTGTCTTTCAACTGCCTAAACTGATCCATAAAGGAACCGTCATTGGAAAACTGATTGTAGTTCTTCATATCGAGTTTTGGTGAACTGGAATTTGTCAATAATTACTTTAAGCATTTCAAATACATACATTAAGTTAATTACATTTTTATTTGCTTTACTGATGAGATTGTAGTTGTACTTTTTGAATCTGTACTACTTGTCACACTGGTTGTGCTTTTCAGTTTTTGATCTATTCGAGCTTGAATTTCCTTCTTCTTTTGCTCTATAACCTTTTCTTGATGGGACATCTGGGCAAAACGATCATTTCGAGTAGTTTTCGTTTGGAATACGTCTACTATAGGTTTTTTCGACATATTGTATATTTTGTTTAAAACTTTAAATTTTATTTATATGTTTGAGTTGTTTTGTGCAAAATTCGTCAACCATTTTGTTTATTTTACAAATCGAGTGCGCCGACGTCGAAGTCAAAGCACAGACTAGAGTACGCTACTAAAAAATGCCTATTCTGTGACGAAAGATTTGAACGATACCGAGATTATACAAAGTCCTCCAAATTTATCGGACATTGCATCTGCAGTTAAAGCATGAGGAATAAGTTGACAAAGTTTATAATTAACTAAGTGAATGACCCAAAACCCATCAAGTACGAAACAAAAACCCAACTATTTTCTATACAAAATTACACTTAAAAACGCGTGTACCTATTTAAAATCACAATGACTTATGGCCGTTTGCACCGACAAATTTAAGCGGTACTTAGCTTAAGCGTAGCTTAAAATCCATGGCAACCATTTTCTCAATAATCGTTGCCATGGATTTTAAGCGACGCTTAAGCTAAGCTCCGCTTAAATTTGTCGGTGCAAACGGCCATTATGATCTGTAAATTCTATTGCTATTGGTTGGCTGATACGATCTCCCATTTGAGTAATTGAGCGTATGTCCTTGAATAAATACCAAAATAAGGTGACCGATCACCTCCTCCATGGGGGTTAAATTGATACTTTGGCGTTTTAATTCTTTTAAAAGAGCTTCATGCTTTTTGGACTTTGGTAAGGCAAAGGTAAATAATAAAGCACAAGTCTACTTCCGCATAGTTAACTTAAATTCACAACCAAGACTTTCTCATTTAAATCATTGTATATTTATGATATACATACAATGCTTAAATTAATCAAATTAAACTGTAACCAGTCATTGGAAATAACGGGCGATCAAAAATTAGTTGCTGTCGAGTCGCCTTTGGAAGTTCAAGTTACATGTAAACAAAAATTCCAAAAGTAACTCGACAGCAACTCATTTTTGATCGCATAGTACGTATAAAGCTTCATTCCCTGTACACATCTTCGATCATACATACTCCCGATCGAAGGTACACATACACACTTTTATCTAGGATAGACGGTACATTATACACGGTAGACAGCACCAAGTCCACTTACAGATGTGATGCACATTGACTCCCTCGGTACTGCGCATACGCAAGCGCGCTTAAATTTGAATTTGATTTAACGAACTCTAAATTAATAAAGCCTTCGGTCATCACTGTGAATTCCAGTTACATTATAGCCCCAACTTGAAAGCAACCGTCATGATCCTTTACAGCATAATATGAAATAAACAACAAGAATTGTAACGTTATTAGGTATTTATTATAATCAAAACCCTTCTACCATCATGGTGTACGGAAAATAAATTAACATATTCTACCAGATAAGTCACTATAAACCAAGTGTGCTCCACCCTCCTCCATGACTTGAGAAGTTGAGGTGATGGAACAGGATTTTTTGAGGGTATTATCTGCGCACCCATATGAGGACATAACTGCTCTGCTCCCTTTTCTAGTCCTCTCGCTTTGAATTGCCGGCGCTCCTGAGCGTACCTACTGTTTGATATTTCAGATTCGTTTGGATTATAGGTAGGTACCCAGCAGCCTATGAGTTTTTTGAACCACTTACAAAGGACTCCGCAAAGATTTACTTGTGGGGTGGGCCTCCCACAGCATTATTTAGTTCACTTGTCTCCCCTGAGGCTTTGTTACCCGAGAATTAGGAGTCCTCAGGGAGAGAGGGATGCGGTAACCCTGTCTAGACTAGTGGTCTTCGTCAGAGCCCAATAAGGCCCTCTTGATGTCGTACAATCCTTGGTCAGTGATGGTTGGAGGTAGCGAGTCCTCCGTTACAGCTTGAGTGGTTTTTGTATTAAGTCCAATTCGACGCTCCCACGAGTATTAGGCTTTTCAACGGGGTCTGGCAGTTCCCCTTACCATAAGAAGGCTACTTGAAACTGAGAGGCGCCCGGTAAACAGAGTTCGCTGTCCAGTAACCAAGTTCCCCCTTGGCCAGGCAGTCCTCTCGGCGTCAGCTCTTCCACCCTGACTTGGATTTGGTTCGCCATACTGTCATTCGGAAATATCATCACAGTTCCGTTGGGAGCGTTGAGATGGTTACCAGGGGGCACACTAGGAGGTAGACAAACGGCTAGTCAGGTATCGCTAAAAACTGAGGAAAGTTTTTGTGGTCGAGACCAACGATATCGAGCTTTTTGCTCTGTTACTAGAAGCACCATGACTGCTTCTTTCAGAACTTACGTCGCTTTCCCCTGACCTTTACCCCCCAAAACACTCGCATTGCAAAAGGAAAATTCAACTTTTTAAGAGAGCACGTTTTAAGGGAGAGCCTCAAGAACTTAGCACTGGGGGTCACAGCGGATAAACATCTTATGATTATTATTAGGTAAGTAATAAATCCACGATCTTCCCATTCATGAAAATATTGGGGAGATCGTAGATTTATTTATTAATAATTTTATCCCAAACGAGAGACGAATCTTCTCATCAAAATACCTATCGTATGGTAATTGCAGGAACAGGAACGCTTAATATTTCATTTTCTGGTTTTAGCATTTTTTTCGGGAAGATTAGAGGGCCACTATCACGGGAGTCCTTAGGTCTGAACATTTTTAGAGAGAATGTAACACCAGGGGGTCTGAGCCCTCCCCTACTAACGTACGAAAATGTTACGATAGGTGTAGGAAAATGAACACTGAATTTTCATTTCCTGGGGAGGTATTCCAGATACCCCCCGTTCTGCATTCTCCCCCAAAATATTTAATAGTTTTAGCACTTACACCATAACGTTAAAGAAAGGACCACGAACCATAACACCGCAAGTCTGTGGGGTAGGGAAAGGAAGGCTTGATGGTCTTTGATAAAAAATTGTCATATGGGTGCCCTTATTAGGGCTGAATGTTTTTAAACAAGAACGCAACACCGGGAGTCACAAAAGTGCACAAAAATCTTAACGATTGATGTACAAAAGAAACATTGAATTTGTTTCAAGGGGGGGGGCGGAGGGGGGTTTTCCTTATGGGAAACTTCCACATTTCACGCTTTACGGCAACTTTCGTTTGTTTGGGTCGTATTTTGGTTCCATGAAATTGCTTTGTTTACGTTTTGGATTAAATGACACCATTGAATAAAAACACTATAAGAAGCCTAACCCCGTGGAAATAAAGCGCGACAGAGTTTGAACTGAGAATATAATGGGAACACTGTCAATAGAGTCGATTCTTGAACTGAGAAGAATGAGAATTTGCTTTCCTCCTATTTACCGCAAAGAGAGTTCGGCGGTCACAACCAATGCGGGTGCAAGGGGATTTGTGAGATTTGTCGCGCTTTCTTCCATAAGCGTTAGGCTTCTTATAGTGTTTTTATTCAATGATGACACGGACATTCGCCCACGTATGATGGATGTATGTATACCAATAAAGGGGAAGCAGAGAAGTTATTTTCGCCATTTCTGTGTGAAAACGTTTTGCAATAGCAACAGTTTTTAGATCTTGGGAAGAAATTTGCCATCGCTTTAGACTTCTGGGAATAACTAGTAAACAGAAAGCCGAATGCATTTGATTGGACCATTTTTTGAAACGGGCGAATCGTAGCGAATCTTGCAGCTGTGACGTCATGATCACTATCTTCGTCACGTGACTATGTCGTTGCTGCCGTTCCAAGCGTGTTGTATTTTTTCGGTTTGCTGCTAATTTACGAAGTGCAATATTAAAATAAACTTAAAAAAAGCCAAATAAAAGACGGGAACAATTCTGGCACATAGTTCGTTTCGGTTCATCAGACGAAAATCGGCGTTTAAACGTAATATTAAACTACAAAAAGTTATGGCGTCCCTTCTCCTTTTCGTACGAATTTAAATCGGCGTTTGCGTGTAGGATCTCGGGACGCGACCACGAAAAATTTTGATTTTGTTGTTAAATTCAACGCTTAAAGTAACAAAAACCGGCGGGGAAGTGTTCACAAATCGGTCTTTTCGATGTCGTGTTAAATGTTGTCGCAAGAACAAGAAGATGGCGTCCTATTTTAAATTCGTTTGTTTGCGTTTAAAACTTAACGTTTTGTGCCCCGTTTTCGTGTTTGAATCAAGAGGCCTAAGATTTCATTGATATGTTGATGTGGGGTAAGTTTGTAGACCTTTAAAAGTTTCGTGGTGACGGGTACGATAATGTTCACCAGACGAAGTGCTTCATTAGCGCTACCTAAAAACGGGTGTCTGATACCACTGCCGAGGTGTACACATCACCGTGAATCGACGTACAGACCTCGACAGTGCTATCACACAGCAACTCGCGAGAAAAACCTTGCTAGAACGAGTATTCCTGTCTTTGGGTAGCGCTTATGAAGCGCTTCGTCTGGTGAACGTAAGCACTGCTTGCGCTAGCCTTTTAACATATGACGTACCTTAGTATTGATGGTTTATAATAAAACAACTTGCTGCAGTATATTTAGTTTCCAATTTATTTATCAGGCACGATAGGGCTCTGTCATTTTGCTACCCTTCATATTAATCCGTTGAAGTAGGTTATGTCAGCTGCGTTCAATTCGATGTTTAATACAGACAATTCAAACCTTAGATTAGGAAAGAGTATGGATACCGCGTATGCCGTACAGCCCGTGTATGAATCGTGTTACCTTTTTAAACAAGTCCGCCATTTTATATGTGGCACATATGTCACTAAAGTAAAATCGCTTTTAATACGTTTTTGAACTTAAATTGAGAGGAAACGGAAGAAAAACAATCTGAAATTATGGTGAATTGTTCAGCTTTTGGATGCAAAAGCAGGAGTGAGAAGAAGGAGCCGGGAATTTCATTTCACAGGTAAATATTGAGAATGTGCCCAATGCCGTTACCACGTATTTGCCTATTTTTCATCACAAAGCATTGGCTTTGAATGTTCTTCTTTTAATATGTTAAAATTAACAACTTAGTGAACGACTTTATATAATTTCGTTCAATAGTACCAATCCCATGCACTCAAATTTTGATAACAAACGTTTTCAAGGACGGTATAATTCACTAAACTCCATAGGCGTAGTCATTGGCACTCGGCGTTTTTTTTAACGGAAATTTAACAGTTAATAATTAATTGTCATTCCTTTTATACATCTATG